TTAGTTATGTAGTGGCATTTCATCAGGGGTTTGTCACTTGTATTTCTTTAGTGGCTAATGTGGGACGTTTCTTGTGCAAAATTGCCTTAGGATAGCCTCTTCATGAAGTGTCTTTTGCCTATTGTTTCCTTTCTCTACTGAGTTGGCTTTTTAAGTTTTTACCTATTCTGGACACACATCAATTGATAATTTTCCGCTGCATAAGTTGTTTTTTTGTTAGTGTTTTTTTTTAACAGTATCTGCATAAGAAATGTTTTTAATTATGGGGAAGTTCAGTTTATCTTTTAGATCTTGCTTTTGGTATTATTTTCAAAGTTGCTTAAGATCTCAGATGACCATTTTTTAATTGTTTAATTGCAGTGAACTATACTTTGAATTACTATGGTCTTCAGAAATGTTATGCTATAGCTAGGGTTTGTTTTTTTCCTCCGAAAGCAAATGTTAATAGTAAATGTCAATGGATGGTTTTATAAAACACTAGGGCTGAATGGCATCAGTATTATTATTACAACTATATAAAAGTTGTTTGTATTGAAGAAATTCTGCAAAGAGAGGAAATGGGAATAGTTGGTTCTAACTCCTTGCAGCTAGTGATTTCCTAATCCTAGCTGTTGGAGCAGAGTCACCCAGGTGGCTTTTTTCCTTCCTTAAATCCTCTGGATTTTGGGTGGGTGCCCATATTATCTGCCCCGCCCCCTTTTTTTAATAGAAGAAGTTTTAGGTTCACAGCAGTTGAATAGAAAGTACAGGTATTTTTCATATCCCTGGTACCACCTCCTATCCTAGTGTCCCCCTCGCTCACTTTCAGTATCCTGCCAGAGTATGGTGTATTTGTTACACTTGATGAAACTACCTATCATTATCACCTTAAGTCCATAGTTTAATGAGGATTCTCTTGGTATGGTCCATTCTGTCCCCTCCGTATAGTATACAGAATAGTTTCACTCAGCTAAAAAAAAAAACCCCTTTGTGCTCTGCCTTTCCCTCTCTCTACTCTAAGCCCCTGGAAACCACTAATCATTGCCTTTTCCAGAGTGTGATACAGTTGAAATCACCTTGTATATAGCCTTTTCAGATTGCCTTCTCTTTCTCTGGTAATATGAACTTAAGGTTCCGTAGCTTTGATAGCTCTTTTCTTTTTTAGTTTTAAATAATATTCCATTGCTCACATGACACTGTATGTATTCATCTAGTGAAGGGCAGCTTGGTTTCTTCCAAGTTTAGGCAGTTGTAATTAAATCTGCTATAAGTATCTGTGTGTAGGGTTTTGTGTGGCAGTTCCTTTGATAATTATACCAAGGGGCACGAGTGGATCTTACGGTAAGAGCATGTCTTGTTTTTAGAACCTGCCAAATTATTTCCAAAGTGGTGGTACCAATTTGCATTCTCAACATACCAGCAACACAGGAGAGTGCCTGTTAATCTGTACCCTCAGGAGCCTTTAGGTTTGGCAGTGTTTTGGTCTTTGACCCTCTGCATGGATGTGAAGTGGAATTCCATTGTTAATACTTAACAGCTTCATAATGATCACATGTTTAATATCTTTTCATGTGCTACTTTAACATCTAGTGAGAGGTCCAGGTCTTTTGGCGGATTTTAAAATTGGTCTGTTTTGCGCAACTTCTTTGAAGACTTTACTTGTTCTTCCTTATCTTACCCTTCACATTCCAACTCTTTCCCTGGAAACCTTAGGTTTTCTTAAGTGAAAATGCTAGTGATACTTAGTCCATGACATTTTTTGGTTCTGGTCCCATTGCTACAGCAGGACTCCTTCCCATTTGCCATTATTAGTGCAAAAACTAATGGTAGTTGTGTTGAGTATGAGATTAGTAATGTTACCTACTCACACATTATCCCCACTTTCTTTTTCAAGTTGTATTATGTTAATATTTTAAGATAAAGATCAATATTTTAGTTTGTAATATGTATTTGCCTTTATATGCCAACTCTAAAAAGCCTATTTTAATCTTCCTAAAGGCTGAATATGAATTCTTTCCATCTTATTGTGTATATTTGAACAAATGCTCATTTTATCTCCCTTTCTCAGACTAGAAAGATTCTTCTGGGAGAATTTTTAAAGGGAGAATTTTTTGCTTAGTGGGATCTGAGTAACTAAGAGGACATTGTAGCCAAGTGTATCTGAAGCATTAATTTTACTTTTGTCATCATTTCTGTGTATATGTGTAATCATTGGAAAATAAATGTAACAAAGTTAACTTTTATTAGAAGTTATTTCCTAAGCAAAATTCACTGTTAGGATTTGTCAGGGTAATTTTTGATGTTTAATGCAAATAAAGCAGTTTTATCATTTATGACATTGTGCTAGTCAGTCAAATTTTACTTGATTGAAAGACCTGTATAAATATTACACAAATACTTGATGTATTTTGTTTTAAAATAAATAAATCAGTTTAGAAGACTCCTTTAACATTTTTTAATTGTTCACTTTTTCACTCATTCTGTAAGATGTTATCAGAGATTACATGTAACTTGATTCTGTAACAGTGGGGTAGATAGATGGACGTTCATTTAGGTCCATAAGATTGATTAATTGGCTAAATATTCTGGTGTTGGAAATATATAACTTTATTACATAGTACAGTTTCTTTAGCATTGTCATGATTATAGTTGGCTGCTTAGGATTTATTAGTGCTTCAGTACTAGGAATATGAAACTTGGTGAAGAATTTTTGTAAATAGGCTCATCTTCAACTTACTCCATGTCTTACTTTTTGGTTTAGCTATCTTGGAAATTTGTATGACAAATGTTAGACTTAATGAATTGAAATAAATAGTATATTATCCACTTTCTTTAAAGATATTTATTTGACATAATATTGTTAACTATGTCAACATGGTTGTTCATTGTTTTTGATATAGTCAGTGTATTTGCAGAAAAGTTTTTGATGATGTGTCTTGAAAGCAAGCAGCTTAGTCTGATGAATGAAAAGTTAATATATGATTTCAAATTAACCTGACAAAGAGTAACAGCTTTCATATCAGTTGTTCAGTACAGTAGATGTATTGCCCCAGTGCTAAGTATCGCTAAATGGCCTTTTTTCCTCTTATGAGAAAAAATAAATTAGATACAGCTTTCAATATTTGAACTTAGTGTATTTTCTTTCATTGCCTGGAATTTCCAACTATTTGTTGTTTTATACTAGATCTGGTATTGCAGTGACATTTTACTTGTATATGTTTATAATATCTGTATATCCCAACGCCAGTTAAATACATTCTTAAAAAGTACCCTGACTTCAGGCTCTCTCTAGCCTGGGAGGGGGGGGGCGGACTTTAGCTCGCATATCACTATCTGTGGTGTAAGGGATATTGGAGCTAGAAACCATGCATAAGGTAAAGTTACTGAGAATTGAGCTAGATCCTGGAGGATTGGTTGAATTTGAATAAATGTAGGAGTTGGCAGTGTAGTCCCAAAGAATTGCATTAAGTGAGAGGACAAATAACTCTACTTCATGAACAAGCCAGATTTGAGATTCTGTTTTTTAGTCAAATAATCTGTCCTTGGACCCTGAACATAGCAGAAAGGAGTAGTGATCAGTAACTTCTTTTTGGAGAAGATGACAGTGTGCTTGTGGACTGGAGTTGAAAGGCGTTTTTGATGTCTGAGTAGCAAGATTATAATACTAAGGCACTTCAGACAGAAGACACCTTTGTCACACAGGCAAATCCTGTTGGAGGGTGGAGATGGAATGAACTCTTTATGTTGTTCCTTGTTCCACGTGTAGGAAGTATATATGGAAAAGATAGAATCATTGCTGCCATGGAGTTTACATTTTAGTGGGAGAAAAAGCAAATAAGCATGTAATACAGTAATGGGATGGATTGAGTACTGGGGGGAGATTCAGCATAGGGGAGAAAGGAGTGGAGAGAGAGATGTTGTTTGAGTAGGATGGTCAGGAAAGACTTCTGTGGAGATGGAACTTGAGCAAAGTGTGGGAATGAGCTGTTGGGTTGTTGCAAAGGTCATGATATATTTTTTTTCTTTATTTTTTAAGCAGAAGTGTGTCATGACTTTTCTGACAACCCAGTATAAGACTTGTGGCAGAAAAAAATGACAATACATTTACTGTATGCAGCTCCAGTATTTGACATTGACACTGAAAGTCTGAGTGCCAGGTGTTGTTCTAAGTATGTTAGTGTATAAACAGGCCTACAAAATGAGTATTTCACATACAGAACAACTGAAGAGTGATGATAAATAATTTACCCAAAGTTGCATAAATAACGAGCTAGAATTTGAGCCCAGATAGTTTTTTTTTTTTTTTTTAAGAAGTATGGTTTTTTTTTTTTTAAATTTATTTACCCATACAGGACTCTGGGGTACAGGGCAGAGGTGCAGGGGTGGTGAGAGGATTCACCAGAGACAGAGGTGGGGAGCAGAACAGGCATATTGACTGACAAAGTACACTGCTGAGGGGAGCAGTGGGCAAGACAGAGGTCTGCTATGTCGTTTGGGTCACCTCCTGGGCGGGCACTGAAGGGGCTGCGGCTCACTTAACAATGCTGCACTTTAACCCGCTGTGCCACTGGGGAGGGCCAGAGCCCAGGTAGTTTGACTCCACCAAAGTCCATGTTCTTCGTCATTCTTCAAAGACAGGGAAGGCAAGGTGTAGTGGGATGTAGCAGAAAATTTAACGAAGCCACTAGGTTCTTTATGACCTTGTAGTTCAGTATGTATGTTTTTGAATTTTATTCTGACTGTTGTTAAGTCATTGGTGTTGAAAAATGCTCAGGAGGTTGCTTTATGATTGTGGATATCAAGAATCAGGTCTGGACTATGCAGAACACATTAGGTGGCCACCTCTATGTGGGATAGATCTTAGCTGAAATATTTCTACTGGCTTATAACATTTATTTGATTTAAAATTAAAGATTCCATTTTATTGAACAGATACGTGCATGTATATATTTGAGTGCCTACATGAGTGTGTGTGATGTGTGTTTGTGTATAAACAAACTAACGAACTCTTCTGTTAATAGGTGCGAGAAGATGTACTAAATTCATTGAATAACAACTTTCTTCAAACACTAAATCAAGCTTGGAATGATCATCAAACAGCTATGGTGATGATTAGAGACATACTCATGTATATGGTAAGAAGAGCTTTGCTGTCATTTTCCCTTTCAGAAGTTGGGCATTTCAAAATACTATGCATAGTCAGTTGGAAAGTATGTATCAGTGGTCCGTATGAGAGGTACTTTTCTACTATATTACTTTTTTATTATTTTTAAATAAAAAAAATTATCTTCAGCAAGGCAGTTTGAGACACTGACAGTCTTAAGATGTACAATGGCTTTCAGGAGATTGAGCAGTCAGTTGGTGTTTTACATATCTTAAATGTGGTTATAGAATACAGCTAGATTCATCCAGCGTAATTGTTGTGTTACAAAAGTTCTTGAATCTAGTGATTTGTTACTTGGGGTGTTTCTTTGGGAAATGGACATAATTTTCTTCTAAGGTTTTTGCTCTTTTCAATTTGTTGTAGTTATTTTAGTTTTGATTGTTAATTATGTAATGGAGAGTACTTTCTTAATATCTTTTACTTAATAGAATGAAGCAGTATTTGGAAAGAACTTCCAGTGAGAGAAAACAGCTGGAATTTCTTTTTGTATTGCTGAGTTAATTCATCCAGCTTATTACCCATGGTTTAGTAGGACTTAACTGGCAAGAGGAAAAGGGAGATGATGTTTCATTTTTCAGGGATTTGGTAAAAGGTATATAAATCATTTCGTCCTTTTGAGCTCATTTTCCTTTTCAGAATATAGATTGATCTTGTGTTAACATTTTAAGGTAGATAGCATGGGAAAGCACATAATGTTTGGGAAATAAATTATCTTACTGCTTTTCTCTTAGTTCTGGATTTGGTGAGTCTATAAATTCCAATGCTGTTTAATGCTAAGATATAAAACTACTTTTCAAGTAATTTCATGATCTGTTCAATTGATAAAATTTTTTAAAAAATCATTCACACATTCTTGTATCATTCTGTTTTTAAACATAAATATGACTTAAGTTTTGTGTGTGTGAGTGTTATAGAATTTTAAGCCTTGTATTTTTGCTGTTAAGTGAACATTGTCAAGAAACCAAATAGTTTATTTCTCAGCTTTCTCATTTATGAAATGAGTGTAGTACTTTAACAGTTGTGTACATTGCCCATGAGACATCAATAGCTGTTCATTTGGAGCACTTCCAGGGCCTGGCCCATAGTTATGTGCTAAATTAAAGAATACCTGGTATTCGTATTTCTTGTCGAAGGGACAGTCCTTTCATCAGACTTACTTTGGTAGTGCCACAACCCTAGGGGTCCTTTCCCCTTCCTCTGCAGGTGGAAACGCCATGGTTAGCAGATCACTGTAGGTAAACACCACTCTTTCCCTGTGTTAGACCTACGGTCAGTCCTCCCCACTGCTCAGCAGTCTTGCTCTTTGTCTCGTCAACTCATTCTGCAACTTTGAAAGTTACCATCCTCAGAACTTCAGCTTCTCTGCTGATCTCTCCTATTCATAATAAATGATCTTGCCTTCTGTTTACTAGAGAAAAGCATCAGGCAGAAGCCATGTTCATTTCTTCCCACCGAACTTCCAGCTTTAGCTCTATCTTCTAAACCCTTTGTGTTTATCTTTTGTTTTATTTTATGCTTTCATGGAGGGCTGTGTGTCCTTTTGTCAGCTGCCATGCTCGCTCTACCATGCCGTGGATCGCTTCCCCTTCTACCATGTCAAAAAACCTAAAGTCTGTTCAGCTTCCTTCTACTGCATCATACTGGATCAGCATTACACACATTCAGGCTACTCACATCGTCAAAATAACATACCCTAAATTTCCTGTTGTGTTCCTGCACTGTCTTCCCTGCTTTCACTGTCATTCACAGATAGGTGTGTCATAAGAAGCATGGACACTTGGCTTCTCTTTTCATCTTTGATTCATTTTAACTATGTTCCAGTTAAGCTTCTCCAAATACTCTATTAAGTTTTACTCTGATCATTAGGAAATCACTGAGAGGCCTCACTCTCTTTTCTTTGACAGTTTGCTGTTTTTCTTCTAATTTGTTGAGTCCTTCATTTTTGTGACAAAACACTTCCTTGATATGCCGCCTCCTATTTTGAGTACTCCTTCTCAACCACTTTACCTCCTCTACAGCTCCTGAATTGAAGCATTACTGGGATTTAGTCTTGGACGTTTTTGTCCGGGTACAGTTCATTTACTACTACAGCTTCAGTCTTTGCTTTCATGCAGATGATTTCCCAGATTTTATCTCTAGCCTTATTCATATACTCATTGTCTAGATGATGACTCTTTTCATTATCTGAGTACTACTTCAGACTTTCCAAATGAACTCATAATCACTGTTACTCTGTTTGCTCATGCCAGAAATCTGAGCATTTTTCTAGCTTGTTTCTTCTCTTTTTCTCGCCCTGCATTATCTGTTGTTGGGACCTGCAGTTTCTCAGTTTTCCTGTATGCTATCCCATTTCTCTGAGCGTATTCAGTAACTGGCCTTAAAACAGTCACTTATGCTTCTCTACTCTTTTCCCTGTTGCCAGCTTTATTTTGAAGCACCTGTAAGTGCCCTGCTGAATGAAATCTTGTATCTTACTTTGGAATTTTAACATAGCTTCTGGAATGTTTCCTGTCTTTTGTAACTTGCTCCTACTTATCCTTTAAGTGTTAAGTTTAACTTCCTGGTAAAATTCCCTGATGAGTGCCCTGTACTACCCATTGGCTGTAGTTGCTCTCTGTACCCTGTATTTTTTTTTTTTTTTTGCAGCATTTGTTGTATAATTAACAATAGTTTGGTGCCTCCTTTCTTCACTAAATCGAACTTTGCCAGAATGGAGCAGTATCTTGGTCACGACTGCATCTCCACCATCTGTTGCGGTTCCTCACACAAACCAGACACTCAGATAGGACTTGATTATATGAATACACAGTTCTTTAAAATGCTATTTATATGCAGAATGGAGCTAGAGTTAGCAAAGGTAGCTTCATTATCTAGAAGATAGAATTGTTTCACTTTTTACGTCCTTGTTCTCTTAGCCTTTTCATGTGTATTTTTCTCTGCCCATTCAATAAATGCTTGTTAGAATTAAGGTAAAATTGGTGTACATTAAACTGTATAGAATACATTGTACAGGGTTATTTTGACAGTTGTTCTTACATGTGGAAACAGTATTTCAGTCAAGATAAGTAAGTGCTTTAATATTCCAGAAATTAAAATAAGTTTTTCCTCTTGATACCTACATTACTTTCTTTAAAGATTAATACTTCCAGACTTCTTGGATCACTTTATCTGCTAAATAGGTCATGTACCAGGGGTATTCCTGTTATCCCTTCATAGAGCAGGGAGGGTGAAGAGAAGATATTTGACTGTCTGCCCACCTACCACCTGTTCAGCTGTCTTACTTTTACTTTGAACAAGGAGGTCTCTGTCTAAAATGTGACACACAAACCTCACTGTAGAAAGGGACACAATGACCCTTAAAAGTGAAAATGGAGTCACAGGCTGCATGAGGCAGCCATTAGTTAAAATTTGTACCATATAACTTTATGTAGCTTTGGCAGGTTTGAGTATTTCAGAAAGTTAAGTATACATGTCTTTATTGAACACATGACCTCTAGTTTTTGCCATTCTTCCCCATTCTAATGTTTCAGGCATTAGAGTTTGTTATCTGCCTTACTTAAATTTGTTGATAATTTCATTCTTTTCTGATGTTAACATGCTGAGCTTTTAGGATTGGCAGAAGACTGATTAGTGTAAATTTCATTTTTAGTTATCGTTTAAAAGATTAATACTTGGGAAAAGGTCTAAGTATTTTATTTTAACTTGAATAATTCAATTTATGCATGGTATACTGTAGGCAATTAGAATTCATGTTAAAGGAGATAGAAGTGTATTTACTATTTGATAATGTAGGCTTAATGGAAGATAGATTTTTCTGCATAAAGCTGTGGAGCAATTTTAGATATATATTTCTATAATTCTACTTGAATTTGTCTGTTTCCAGTCATTTACACAAACAACAAAAGTATTGCAGGTTAACCTTAGAGATTAAATGTTATAATTTCAAAGTCATGATGAGAGATTTAACCTAGCAAAAAGGTTCACTGCTTCTTTGAGCTATTTGGAAAGTCATCAAGGTTGGGTAGTAACAGTAACTGAGAAGAAAGCAAGTGAGGAACTCCTGAGAAGGCATGGTCATCAAATTAGGGTGGCAATGGGAAGTGAAGCTCTAAAGAGTATGGTAGGCTGAATAATGGTTCCCCAAGTAGATCATGACTAATTTCTAGAATCTGTGGCTGTGACCCATGTATGATAAAAAGAACTCCATGGGTATGATTAAGGTTCTTAAGATGAGGAGGTTGTTCTAGGCTATCCTGTTAATCACAGGGTCTAATAACAGTCCAAGTAAAATGAAAGTCAAGAAAGAAGGCGCTATGATGGGCGGAATGGGCTTGGATGATGGTTAAGTGGCTACAGCCCAAGAATAGTTGGCTATGAGAAGCTGAATAAGGCAAGGAAGTAATGCCCCCCTCAGAGTGAGCAGGAGCCAGTCTGTCCTGTCAGCATCTTTATACTTAAGCCCAGTGGAACTGCTTTCATTCTTCTGAATTCTAAAACTGTACGAAAGTAAACAAACTACAAAATTTGTGGTAGTTTGTTCAGCAACAATAGGAAACTAATACAAGGTGGAAGTTTGGAATTATCCTTTATGTTGGTGTAAACTGTAAATGGGTCTTGTAGGGATTAGTTAAAGGAATCACATAGTTTATATTTATACCGTGTGCAATATGCAGAACATGTACTTTTTCCAGAAGTACTTAGCAGCCTCAGAGAAGAATGTTCAAAATAAGGAAAATTCACTAAATTAGTGACTGTGAGGGTGAATACTAAGATAATAGCATTTGTTGAAATGGCTGTATGTGCTGTTTAGTAAGTCAACAGATGAGTAATAAGGTACCAAGAAATAGTACTGAGTGTAATGGATTAGACCTAGAGGTCCAGTGAGAGTACTAGGTTGGTTCAAGTGTGTAGTCAAGTAGGGGAGGCTGGAGGAAAGACAGTGCCAATGATATTGGATGACTTTGAATGATG